TTTTTTTTTTTCCTATTTATCTTGTGTGTCAATCTTTTTATTAAATCTTTATTTTTCGATTTTTTGATACGTATTTTGAATTATCGTGATATATATATATATTTTTTATAACTATGGATGTTCGGATCAGCTTGCGCGCACCTCGACTAATCCTACAGGGCCCTGAAATTTATGATCGGGTACTCACCTCAATGGCCCTGAGAGGATTCGAACTGGTGACCATTGGGGAGCAAACCCAAAGCCTAATCAATTAAGTAACCTCTCAAGGTTAAATTATCGTGATATTCATCACAGGAATCACACAAATGTAGATTAGAAAACTCCTGTAAAATGCCTGCCAGTAACCGTGCAGATTACATAGTTCAAGGATTGGCGACTCAGACATTAAGTGACTTTGGCACTGGACGTTCCAAAATAGGTACTATCGGGTTGGGTAAATTCAATAATAGACGCAAATTTGCATTCCAACCTTCCTTCTCCTTTTAGGGCTTATTCGAAAGAGAATCTAGTACTTCTTGGTTGTAAATATCCGATTTTATACATCCACTGACAATGCATTGATCACAAAACAATAGAAGGATTTGATAAAAAGTCAATTTGTCATCCTCTACGGCAATTTAGTCCCAGGCAGATCATTCATCACATTGTCAGATAACTGTATAATGATAATGTTGTCAACATTTTCTATGGTCTCCTCTCTGGGTTGTGGCAAAAATTTGCCATATACTTACTAATTTCTTTCGGAACACCATGTCTCCATACATGTACTTCAAAGTCAGTCTTACGCACAGGTAGGTTCACGATAAGCGTAAAACTTTTAACATCTTATAATATGAATCTGAAACACATTCCATTGGTGAATGAAACCGACTCGAAATTTGTGGGAACAAGCTTAGAGGTTGTTTGAATTTTTATTTTTTACTGCCTCTTTCATAATTCCACTGAAGTTTTCCATAGTCAATACCCATTGTACATAGTGCAGATAAACAAAGCCTAATTTAAGAGATTATATCACACTGCTTACATTAAAAAAATCCAAGCTTTCCGGAATCGCCTTTAACACGCACATTCAGCTTATAATTTGCCAGAATCACCCACCAAAACATGCAATTAATTCTAAAATTCACATTCAAAAAACCATAAACCAGATTCTCACCTAATCACAAAAAGAAAAATATAAATAAAATTAAAAATCACACACGTACTTTATAACATGACATGATGTTCACTATTATATACTTCTTTACACGTATCAAGAAATACTCACAGTTTTCTTGGTTTCTTGATCTGAGATTTGATATTCTTCTACATCAGGGACATACGAAGATGGGACACCGCAGGATCAGTGAAAGCACATACACAGAAAGAGAAAGCACAGAGAGAGGCCAAAAAAGTGACGACCAGAGCATTCAAGGTGCCAGCTGAGCTCTGTAATCCCAACCAATCTTCTATAAAAATGAATACTGTTACATAGTAAATGAATCCCAGAAAGAGAAACGCTGATAAAACGAAGATTGATGGAAATCTATTCAGTTCCATTTCTGGGATTTTGTAATGATCTCGTAAGAAATCCGAGCCCCCTTTTGTGAACGATTGAAATTAAAATTAAAATTAAAAAAAAATGCTGCTGTTAAACGGAATTGGGGAAAAAATATTCTCCTTTATCTTGGGTTAGTTTTCGGGGCAAGGATTGAACCTGATTGGGCTGTCACTTGATCTCAATAGAATAAGAAGTCCAAAATTGCCAATACTATGGATGGGCTGCCCGTCTATTTTAAATTAGAAAAAGTGGTAATTACTTAAAATAGTACTTTAAGTTTTTAAACTCCCAAAATCGCATTGGAAGTTTAATATTTCCAAAATCAGATTTTTTATTAATTAATATATTATTACTAAATAAAACATATGATTAAATTAAATTAATTTATAAACCAAATCCTAACTCCCTCCA